TGTGTGTGCGCATGTATTCAAATTTTAAATATATAATTGCATGAAATCTTTATAAGAACATATAATCTGAGAATTACAGTATCAACCCCATTGGAATGAATGGAATTAAAAATATATATATATTTTGAAGGTCTCAAAGCATTTGCAAAGTTTTGCTCCCTTACTAAAAACTATGCTTTTCTTTTAAGAATTTTTTATGCATCTCTTCTTGATCAAAATGTACTCAAATGCATTATGGTTAATCTTACTGTTATATGGTCCAAAAAGTATGTTCAGGACAAACTATGTGGAACAATCAGCTATAAGAGTGAGACAAGCCTGTTATTATAACAGCTCACATGAATGTACAACGTGAAACCTAGAAACATGAATACCCAGTAACAACCAAATGCCAAAAAATATCTACGGCCTAAAAATAGTGTTGGCTATTAAAATGACCTGTTTTTAGGAGAACATTTGCAGAATTCCATGAAATGGATTTATATGCAGTAAAAGTGTGTGAGAAAACTGTACTTGCTAGGGGCGTGTGTCTGTCTGTGTGTGCGCGTGTATTCAAATTTTAAATATATAATTGCATGAAATCTTTATAAGAACATATAATCTGAGAATTACAGTATCAACCCCATTGGAATGAATGGAATTAAAAAATATATATATTTTGAAGGTCTCAAAGCATTTGCAAAGTTTTGCTCCCTTACTAAAAACTATGCTTTTCTTTTAAGAATTTTTTATGCATCTCTTCTGGATCAAAATGTACTCAAATGCATTATGGTTAATCTTACTGTTATATGGACCAAAAAGTCTGTTCAGGACAAACTATGTGGTACAATCAGCTATAAGAGTGAGACAAGCCTGTTATTATAACAGCTCACATGAACGTACAACGTGAAACCTAGAAACATGAATACCCAGTAACAACCAAATGCCAAAAAACATCTACGGCCTAAAAATAGTGTTGGCTATTAAAATGACCTGTTTTTAGGAGAAAATTTGCAGAATTCCATGAAATGGATTTATATGCAGTAAAAGTGTGTGAGAAAACTGTACTTGCTAGGGGAATAAACTGTAGAAACATTCATTTTCCGTAAAGCTGTCTAGAAACGACACGCATTGTGAAAACCGCTACACAAATAAATGTGAACTGAATGCAACAATATCTGGTTTGCTTGAGATACTTCACATGCTTTCACCAATCTGTGTGTGAGTTCACACATTCAGTCAAACAAGAACATCTTCAGAGAGCCACTAATATAAAGAGAGGATATTTACTCTATAATAGGCTCTGCCATTTCAAGTATATGACCTCCTTGTTCAAAAGAAGAAATTAAACGTCAAATTTAGGCCGTCCTGAAAGCAAAAGCATATGGTTCATTTTGGGGAAGGTCTTGAGTATTTCAAACCCTAATGATGTTCCATCATAAGGTATGATTATTAACGACTGCCATGCAGTAGCTACGGTTATGACCATATGGTTGGTCATATTTCCCTAAGACGCAGGGAACATTGTGAAGTGTGTGAGGACAAAGTATATGATATTAATGACCAAAATATAAAAAGAGGCGTTTTCTTTTGCCGTGCCACATTTGAGATATTAATGTGACGCTGCACAATACGGTTTTAGACCACATGCTTTAAAATTTTCGAGCAGAGATATAAGTGCAGTATTAAACGTTGGTGGTGTTAAAGGCCAAATTTGCTGTGCTTTACATTGGGACTGTCCTCTAAGTGTGTATAACCTGTTACCATATGATTCAATGAGCCGTCATCGACTCCACCTTTGTGAGAAAAAATTTAACAAACACTGTTCATGCCTACATCTTCAGTGCAAGCACCAATTATAAGACCAGGCACTATTGGGACGTCCAGAAAAGTTCAATGAATCAAAATAAAGAAATAATAACTAATAAGTCGGACTAATAAGTCACTGGCTGCTGTAATTTAAAGGTATCATATGATGCGAGTGTTACAAGCTGATTGTGCATAGATAAGATCCCTGAAGTTGCAAAGACTAAAGTCTCAAACCCAAAGAGATATTCTTTATCAAAGTTAAGACTCTGCCACGCCCCCCTAAAACTCATCATAAGATATGATTATTAACGACTGCCATGCAGTAGCTATGGTTATGACCATATGGTTGGTCATATTTCCCTAAGACGCAGGGAACATTGTGAAGTGTGTGAGGACAAAGTATATGATATTAATGACCAAAATATAAAAAGAGGCGTTTTCTTAATGTGACGCTGCACAATATGGTTTTTAGACCACATGCTTTAATATTTGCGAGCAGAGATATAAGTGCAGTATTAAACGTTGGTGGTGTTAAAGGCCAAATTTGCTGTGCTTTACATTGGGACTGTCCTCTAAGTGTGTATAACCTGTTACCATATGATTCAATGAGCCGTCATCGACTCCACCTTTGTGAGAAAAAATTTTAACAAACACTGTTCATGCCTACATCTTCAGTGCAAGCACCAATTATAAGACCAGGCACTATTGGGACGTCCAGAAAAGTTCAATGAATCAAAATAAAGAAATAATAACTAATAAGTCGGACTAATAAGTCACTGGCTGCTGTAATTTAAAGGTATCATATGATGCGAGTGTTACAAGCTGATTGTGCATAGATAAGATCCCTGAAGTTGCAAAGACTAAAGTCTCAAACCCAAAGAGATATTCTTTATCAAAGTTAAGACTCTGCCACGCCCCCCGCTGGCAGGTTTTTGTGGATTTGTCTGATTTTTATCAATTGCACTACATACAGCACACTGTAAATTTTAACTTAAGTTTGCTGTTTTGATGGGTTTTATTTAGAGACTGAAACCCTCAGAACCTTACATTGTCTTTGTATATCACCTTTTATAAAGTGTGGACCTTGCGTTTGGATAACTCAATCATGGGCCACGACAAAAAATGGTGCTGGAGACTATTTGTGATTTTGCTGAGCTTTTTTTCCCCATGAAGGTCTCTAGACGATCCATGACTTCTGTGCTTGTCAATAATGCATGCACTGATGCAGCTGAATTACGTCAAAGCGCACACAAAGTGTCAAATGTTTGTCAGTGTGCCACAACACACAGCACTCATCCCATCACACGCTCCGCTTTTATACTTCGAACATAAAGCAAACCTTGAAACACACAGCATTCATTTCAATAAACGTCCTCAAAGCCTTCGCTGCATATCTTTACTCAAGTATTTGTGAGTGGAAATCCTGGCAGTATGAGGTGTATTTTATAGAGAGATTCAGACAGGAGGGTAGAAATGTGTCTCTTTGCCCTCACAGACTGAGACTCTGAGCACTGAACGTGTTGCTCCGGATCCACTCCAGGATTTGCATCTCTCTCACACATCCAATTCACATTCAGCAGGCAGTGACAATGCTCCACGCTGCACAAACAGTGTAAAACATGGTAAATAGAACAAGTAGATTTTTTTGTATTTTAATCTACACCTGCACAATTAGTTAATTGTCATGTTTTAATGAATTGTGCGTCCCTAATTCAGGGTTTCTGTAGGTTTTATAAAGGTGTATTTAAGACCTTGTTTAAACCAAGAACACAATTTAAAAGAAACACAAAACAATTTGGTCTCTAAATGTAAATGTCTTGTATATG